CCCCCCGCTGGGGCTGGGTCTCCAGCATCACCTGGAGCTGGTAGGTCCAGTCTCCGTTCTGGAGCTCCTCCCCGAAGGCCACGCCCTCCTCCTCCGGCCGCCCGTTCTTCAGCCACCGGACCTCGATCTCCACGGGGTAGAAGCCCCTGGCGGTGCAGAGGAGGATGGTGTGGGGGGAAGCGGGGTCCAGCTTGGTGGGGGAGATGGAGACGGTGGCCTTGGCTGGAGGGGAGGAGGGGGAGGAACATATTTATTTATTAAATTTATTTGCCACCATCTCATGATAAAATGACTCTAGGCAGCTTACAGCCTTAAAACATTAAAATCCTAACAGATATAAAATGGAATTCCCAATCAAGATAAAAGTCCCCCTGTAAGAGAGGGGGGGGGTGTTAAAAGTTGATAAGTAAATCAATATATTATTGATTTATTAATATAAAATATGATGTTGAAATATTATATAGCATATAGATTATTATTGAAATATATCTATACACTGGGCAAGAGAGAGACCTTGCTGGATTCCTCATCCCCCACCCCCCGAAAAATATAATATTTGGTATAATATTCTGGAAAGATGTTTTTTGGGGCAGGGGAAACTTTGGACCTTGGGAAGAGAAGGAAGATGATGGGACCGATGGGAAGGAGAGGAATCTATTTATTCCCTTTTGATGTTTAATTGTCATCATTGTAGAATTTCAAACTTTTTAACAGTAATTTAATTTTTGACCTTATTTTTTTATATATATTTTTATTTAGGGGTGATGTTATATCCTACGCCATCCAGAGCCCCGCTTTGAGGGAGGTGAAGGGATTAGGAGTATCCATAAATAGCAATAAATACCAATGAATAAATTTCGTAGATCGGAGAGCACAGAATACATCAGGGGCAAATCTTTATCCGGGAGAGTCCTAATGAATGAAATGAAAAGGGGGGGTCCCTGCATTTTCCCCCCACCCGTGGAACTCCCCCTCCCGTATTCACCTCTCCGGCCAACCACGGAATTGCTCTGGGAAACCCCGTAATTGTTTCGGCAGAAGTAATCCACGGAGGCCTTCGCGTCCAGCAGGATGCGCTGATTCCTGTTCCAAGCCCGGGCATCCTCCTTCCCCAACGCCGTGACGGCCTCGAACTCCCCGCGGGCGCTGTCGAAGCGGAGATACTCCTGCCGGTCGTAGATGTAGCGCTGTAGGAACTGCACCCGCCGCGTCCCGTTGAGGAAGCTGCACTCGTGCTTCGTCTGGTACAGGAAATGGGCTGCGGGGGGGAGGAGGAGGAGGAGGAGGAGCGTCAGGAGGGACTCCAGGGCCCATGGTTCCCAGCCTCTCCTACAGGGCGGACCTGCTTGTCAGAGGAGGGGAGGGAAATCTGCCGTATAAGAGGCTGCCGGAAGGCGCCCCCTGGAGGAGGGATGGGGTTTATCTGGACCCTCAGAGTCCCCTGAATTGGGGGGGGGCAAAGGGGTGGGGAGCCTTCCTGGGGCTGCTGAAAGGACCCCGTTGGAGGCAGGAGATCGGGGGGGGGTCCTTTCCCTCCCCCTCTGTTGAGGGAGGGCTGCTCAATTTTGATCTAGGCGGCTTGGGGGTCTGTGGATCCTGGGGAGAAGGGAACCCACCCTAGATATCCCCCAAATTTTCTCCCCCCCCGCAACTTCCCTCCTACTAGCTGCCTTTGCGTGGTTTGGGGGTTCAGCCCTCTTTCCTGTCCCCCTGGAGCCCCCCAAGAGCCATCTCAAAGGGAAGGTGTCCAGCCCCCCCCCCCACAAAAGGGATAGTTTTGGGGAGCGATTCAGACCCCCCCAATATCCTTTTCCCTCAGTTCACCCCTCCCCTCCAGGTCCCGATTCAGCAATGGGGGAATATGGAGTGGGGGGTTCTGGGTCTCCTCCCCAAATTCAGAGTCTCCCCCAAGAAGGAATCCAAGCTCAACTCTTCCCTCGCCTTAAAAAAAATGGAGAGTCAGAAGAAAAACTGAGGTTGCAAAAACACTTTTTGGTGGCCTTTGTGGATTCCGGTGTGAAAATGCCTCAGTTTCCCTCTTTCACTTTCGCTTTCCGACTCCTTCTTCTTTCAGTGTAAGAAACTTCGGGGCTCAGGCGCTAATCCGGGGTGCACAAGCCAGCCAGCCACGGGGGGGGG